CCTTCTTCTTCTTCTAGAGTTGAGGATAGGGAAATACTTCAGGAGCGATAGTCAGAGAGGTATTTGGTGGAGCATCTTCAATTTGTTGCAAAGAAGAAGAAGATAAGTGATTGTGTATTTCATTTGTTGTATTTTCTTAAACAAACCATTTAGTGGAATTCTCTTTTTTTTCAAATGACACTTTGTGGTATGCTCATCATGTTTTTTGAGTAGTACTCTTTACCATGCCTTATGATGATTAAGTAGGATGTGTAGGAATGTTAAGTGCTGTGAAACTACTTTTTTTTTAATGTAATGATTAACCTTCATATCTTCATTTACTATTCATCTTGGTCAAGAGAAATGTTAAAATGTGCTGTTAACCATAACGAATCTGGAGAGTTATTGTAAATTCAACTGGGTTAGTCATGTTGAACTATTGGGAATATTTTGATATGCCTCGTAGGGTGATGCAAATGTTAGGGAAATATAATTTGACGCTTCAAAACAGAATTTATAACAAATAAATATGATAGGCTTTACTCTTCAATTTATTTCTTGGATTAAGGCATGTACGGATCAAATCCCATTTTCTATTATGTTGCAATGTGAGCTTCACAGGTTTTTCAATTCCTCTACTAACTTAAGATAGGGTTGTCACTTAACACTATACATTTTTTCTATTATGATGGACTCTTTTGCATACTTGCAAGATAATACTTGACATTCTATGAATATTGCTTTTCTAACGGTCAATCTTCTCATTCATGCTGATGATTCATCAGTATTTTGCAAAGCCAACTCTCAGTTCATTTTGGAGTTATCTCAGCCTCTTTTCACTTTTCAGGTGGCAACCAATCTTCAAGCTAATCCTGGTAAGTTTTCTATTTGCTTTTATAAATTTGTTCCTCCTCATAAATGTTATTATTTAAGTGAGATGATTGGCTATCAGTTAAAACCACTCCCTTAGAAATATCTTGGCATTACTATACACTCATCTAGAGGATATAGCTATCCTACAATTCTTGAGAGAATGCAATCCACTTTGCGTGGATGGAAGCAGAAGTTACTCTCCTTTGCAAGGAGGTTCCAACTTATTAGATACAATAGTTGGAGTTATCTGCATTATTGGTTAAGAGCCACCTCTCTTCCTAAAGGCTTGAGAAAGACTATTTCATCTCTCATTAATAAATTTCTATTTTTTTAGTGGCTCAAACATTAAATATATACTGTAGCATGTACCATAACAACAAAGGCTAGACATTGCGGTGGGTTGGGACTTCCAAACCTTAATGCATTGAATATCATGAGCAAATCTAAGCTTATATGGAGAACTTGCAATTATGGCTCTAATCTCTCTATATGGTTCTTTCATTATTATGGTTCCTTACTTCAGGTTGGCAAGGGCTCTCATTTTGTGCATTGAAAAGAAGTACTTACAGCTTTTAAAAGGTTCAGAGAAGGCTTTAAATTTTAGGTAAAAAACACGAGTCAGATCTCCTTCTTCTTTGATCCATTAGTGGATGGACCTTCTCTTTATGAGCACTTAGGTAGTTCTATTTTGGCATGGTTTGGTTTTCCTCAAACTACTCTTATTTTTGTGTTAATATCTTCAATTGTTTGGGCACTTTCCTATAATCATCAAACCAACACAGATTGTGTTACCCTCATTCTCAATTGTGCTTGGTTGGGCAAGCCTGTTATTGCTCGTTGAGAGATTTACAATTTCCTTTACTTTCATTCCCCTGTTGCGACCTAGAATAAATTAATATGATTTAAAGGTTATTCTCTAAATTTTTCTACTTTTACCTGGAAAATTTTAAATAATGGTTACCACTGATGTTTTGATATCTACAAGCTACAACTTACAAAATATTTGCATTTTTTTTTTTGCAAATATAGTCATGAAACACATGCTCATCTCTTTTTTAACTGCCCCTAATCCTTTCAACTACTAAAATTAAGCTCTCCACTTTTTTGCATTATTTATATGGAGTGTACTTTTCAACAATATTTCTCTATTGCTGACTATTTAAGTTGCAATATCTCCAAGAGGTTCTCTCTTCTTGCCATACAAGTTATTGCTCATTATGTTTGGTTTGAAGGAAATGCTCGTACTTTCAGGAGTATTACCTCTAACGAGGAGACAGTGTTAAGTCACATTAAGTGTGCTATTAAATGCAAAAGTACAAAGTGGGTGTTTTACTCTCATATTCCCTTTCTCATTGTTCTCTTTACACCCTTTGCAACCATTCACCATAACCTTATAATTGTTGTTTTAAATGGAATTTATGCAATATATCTGGACTTGGCTGATATTCTAATTCACTTTGGGAGTACTTCTGAGTACATTTATGCATTCTGGAAAGTATTTCTTACATTTTGTGCTCTTGGTTCCAGGCTTAACAGTGCAGGTCATTTTTTTTGCTTTGATGGACTTTTCTGTATTTTGGCTGGATTATATGATGTATGGTGATCATTATCAGCTAGGACTATTTTACACCATTGATGGGTTTACTACTTTTGCTTACAAGCTAGTTTCATTCACCATATTCTCTTTTTATGGGTTGTTTTGGATGACATTTCTTTTTTTTGGGATAAAATTAATGTTGTCAATTTATTTTTTTTTTTTACATGTTTCATTCTCTTGCTAGTTGATAATGATTTTGGCTGCTTTCATACATCAGTTTTTGGTTTTGGAGTTCAATCGAACATTTTGACCTAGATAGAATTTCTAATCTCATGTTTCCTCTTGGCATTTTGGAGAGCAATGTTGATATCCACAACAAAAATTATGTTTAATCATTTTCTTGTAAGTTTTAATTTTTATATAACTAAGTTCTGTTGGGGACGGCCCTTAATTTCTTCCAAAAATAAAACAAAATTCATGTAAGCGTGCATGTATGTGAGGGTAGTAAAAATTTATCAGAAAACTGATGCGACATTGTTAATCGCAAAATGCACATTTGTAATCATTAAATCCAAAATC